AACCTGAAAATGGAAAGAATAAACATTTATAAGTGTCAATTTGATTTTCCCTCAATTTAAAAGACAAATCAGTAGTAGACGTCTAATTTGTTTTCGCTGTGGTCATGTTTTTGCAAATTTGTTACTTAGTTTGTAACTGATGCTATAAAATTCGTTACCCTTAATTTTTAAATTAGGTTTAAAAAAATACGTACCAACACAATGGCTATTATTGCAAAAGCAGCAACACAAACAGTGAACTTCATTTTTACAAGCATGTAGCAACAATGACAGTAATAAGTATACCATCGACACCCATCTTTATATACGGTCGTTGTGGTCATGTTAATTCATTTTAAATTTTATGCATCATTAAAAATTCATGTAGCTTTTTTGTGCTAGCATAACTTAAAAACACGACCTTGTTTGGAAAATTCTCAAAAGCATTCTAAAAGTCCGCGATTTATGATGCGAAATTAATTAAAACGTCGAATTTTAAAGTTTTAAGGTAATCGGAGACTATTGACTTAATAAAACCAAATAAAAAGATTCTTCAAAATGACACAGTACTTACTTTATCTGTGAATATTCAAACGATAAACTAGAACTGGATTTAACTTTACAAGTTGTTCTGTATTTTGCATTCTTTTATGCGAAATACTTAAAGTTGTTAAAAACAAAAATATAAAATTTCAAGGAATTAGAAGTACCTCATTCTAAGGTCGTATTAACCAGGTTATTCTTTTTGGATAACCAATAACCAGTCTGTTGACATCAAGCAAGTTGTTTTTGCAAAATTTTAAAAAATCCAGGAAAAGGTTTTTTGAGTCTCAATTTTTATTCAGGAAATTTGAATTAGTAGAGATTGAAAGTTCCAGTGTCAGAAATAATCGTATCGGAAAATTTGACGATATGGAAATATCATGAAAAATCGAAAATTTTCACATCGATCTGAAATTTTGGCATTGTAGAACTCATTTCTGGCATTAGCTTTTCGATACTGCTTCCATTTCACCCGAAAATGCGCATTTTCCGGATTCGAAAACTGTTTTTTGGGTTTAGGGGGTTGTAACTCCGAAATCGAAAGACGTAACAATTCGATTCAGGATGTTTTTAGACATGTAAATCTAGTTTGGTTGGCAACCAATTTAATATATTGAAAAGATCCCTACTGAAAAATGAAATTTATCTTTTTGGCAACGAATCAGGTTATCCAACGTGAGGAAAAATTTCATAGTCCACTTTTGTCTAAAAAGATCCTGGACGGTTTAAGTGGGATTTATAAACATGCTGTTGACGTAACAGTTTAAGGACACTGATAACCAGGGACTGATAACAGGGAATTTATTCCATAGTTGAACGTAAAGTGGCATAACGCCCGCAATGAGGGCGTAAATTTCAAAGGGACGCGGTCCGCATAAGTATGGACAATTCATATTTATATTATCATTATTACTTTTAAAATTAAATTATGCAACCAAATATACACGCCACGTCATTCCATTGTGTTCCAGTCTAATTAGATCATATCACAATTATTATATGATCTAAGGTCCCAGTCTCCCAAGTCCAAAATTGACAGATTAAGTAGGATTTATAAACTTGCTGTTGACGTTGCTTTTAGAGCTGAAAAGTGGATGATTTAAGTTGATTACTACAAAAATTTACCATTTTAGACATGTTTTAAGTTCCTTGTTGTCGAAACAAGTCTACACATATTAAGAAAAAAAAAGGCCAAATGTGTGTCTTAATATACATAGTATTCTCAGAGATAAGTATTCTTTGCACAACACGATACACAAAAAGATGTTTTTCTAATTTCTCGTGGAGAAATAAGGATTTTGCAGTTAAGCTGCGCCCCCTTGGCTGACGACGAATAAAAAAAATCATTACAATTGAGACAGGGCGGGTGGGTGGGGCTACATTTTGCCTTTTTTTTCTTAATATGTGTAGACTTCTTTTGTAGACAAGAAACTTAAAACATGAAAATGGAAAATTTGTGTAAGGAAATATCGATTTTTGCAATTAGGCTCCGCCCTATACTTAGTTGCAAAATCCATATTTCTTTGCAAAAATGTACCATTTTAACGATGTTCTAAGTTTCTTGTTGGCAAAATATAAGCCCCCCCCACCCCCCCCCCCCATCTCAATTCTGATGATTTTTTTATTCGTCGTAAGCCGAGGGGTGGAGCGTAATTGCAAAATCGATATTTCCCTATGCAAATTTACAATTTTAAACATGTTTTAAGTTTATTGTCGTGAATAGATGACTATACATTTGAAGAAAACAAGGCAAAATATAAGCCCCGCCCACCCGCCCTATTGCTATTGTGATGATTTTTTTTTTAATCGTCGAGAGCCAAAGGAGCGAGATTTAATTGCAAAATCCTTATTATTTCTCTACAAGAAATTACCATGTAAGACGTGTTTTTGAGTGCCGTGATATTCAAAAAATACTATAAGAATTAAGAAAAAATATATTTTGTCTTTTTTTCTTAATATATTTAGTATTCTTTGAACAACACGATACTCAAAAACATGTTTCTAATTTTTTGTAAAGAAATAAGTATTTGCAGTTAAGCTCCGCCCCCTTGAATCATTGCAAATAAAGAAAAATCATTACAATTGCGATAGGGCGGATGGTCGGGGCTTATATTTTGCCCTTTTTTGTTAATATACGTAGTCATTTTTTCACAACAAGAAACTTAGTAAAACATGTTTAAAATGGAAAATTTGTATAAGGAAATACCGATTTTGCAATTAGGTTTCGCCCCATAATTTCAAAGTCCATATCTCCTTCCAAAAATGTACCATTTTAACCATGTTTTAAGTTTCTTGTTGTGAAAAGATGGCTATGTATATTAACAAAAAAAAGACAAAATATAGGCCCCGCCCACCCACCCTATCTCAATTGTGATGATTTTTTCTTAATCGTTGAGAGCCAAAGAAGCGGAATTTAATTGCAAAATCCGTATTTTCTTACAAAAATTTACCATTTTAAACGTGTTTTAAGGTTCTAAGAAAAAAAAAAATATATCACAATGGAGATGGGGTGGGTGGGTGGAGTCTATATTTTGCCTTTTTTGTAATATACATATTATTCTTTGAACACGATACTCAAAAACATTTTTTTTTTTTGTTCTAAAGAAATAAGTATCTTGCAGTTAAGCTCCGCCCCCTTGGTTCACGGCGAATAAAAAAAATCATCACAATTGAGATAGGGCGGGTGGGTGGGGCTTACATTTTGGCTTTTTGTTTTAATATGTGTAGACTTCTTTTCACAACATGAAACTTAAAATATATTTAAAATGGAAAATTTGTATAAAGAAATATCGATGAAGCAATTAGGCTCTGCGCTATATTTGCAAGATCCATATTTCCTTGCAAAAATGTAACATTTTCGATAACCATGTCCTAAGTTTCTTGTTGTGAAAAGATGGCTATGTATATTAAGAAAAAAAAAAAGGCAAACTATAAGCCCCGCCCACCCACCCTATCTCAATTGTGATGATTTTTTCTTAATCGTCGAGAGCCAAAGGAGCGGAATTTAATTGCAGAATCCATATTTTCTTACAAAAATTTACCATTTTAAACGTGTTTTAAGGTTCTAAGAATAAAAAAATCATCACAATGGAGATGGGGTGGGTGGGAGGGGTCTATATTTTGCCTTTTTTCATAATATACATAGTATTCTTTGAACACGATACTCAAAAACATTTTTTTTTTGTTCTAAAGAAATAAGTATCTTGCAGTTAAGTTCCGCCCCCTTGGTTCACGGCGAATAAAAAAAATCATCACGATTGAGATAGGGCGGGTGGGTGGGGCTTACATTTTGGCTTTTTGTTTTAATATGTGTAGACTTCTTTTCACAACTTGAAACTTAAAATATATTTAAAATGGAAAATTTGTATAAAGAAATATCGATTTTGCAATTTGGCTCCGCCCCATAATTGCAAAATCCATATTTCTTTACAAAAATGTACCATTTTAATAATGTTCCAAGTTTCTTGTTGTGAAAAGATGACTATACATTTTAAGAAAACAAGGCAAAATATAATTCCCGCCCACCCACCCAATCTCAATTGTGATGATTTTTTCTTAATCGTCGAGAGCCAAAGCAGCGGAATTTAATTGCAAAATCCATATTTTCTTACAAAAATTTACCATTTGAAACGTGTTTTAAGGTTCTAAGAATAAAAAAAAATCATCACAATGGAGATGGGGTGGGTGGGCGGAGTCTATATTTTGCCTTTTTTCATAATATACATGGTATTCTTTGAACACGATACTAAAAAAACATTTTTTTTTCTTGTAAAGAAATAAGTGTCTTGCAGTTAAGCTCCGCCCCTTTGGTTCACGGCGAATAAAAAAAATCATCACAATTGAGATAGGGCGGGTGGGTGGGGCTTACATTTTGGCTTTTTGTTTTAATATGTGTAGACTTCTTTTCGCAACATGAAACTTAAAATATTATTAAAACGGAAAATTTGTATAAAGAAATATCGATTTTGCAATTAGGCTCCGCCCCATAACTGCGAAATCCATATTTCTTTACAAAAATGTACCATTTTAATAATACGATCCAAGTTTTTTGTTGTGAAAAAATGGCTATGTATATTAAGAAAAAAAAAAGGTAAAATATAGGCCCCGCCCACCCCTCTATCTCAATTCTGATGATTTTTTTTTATTCGGGGGCGCAGTATAATTGCAAAATCGATATTTCCCTATACAAATTTACCATTTTAAACATGTTTTAAGTTTCTTGTTGTGAAAAGATGATACATATTTGTATGAAGAAAATAAGGCAAACCAGAAGTTGACAGCGCTGCACATTATCGCAATTTGATTGGTTGAAAACCCAACAATAACGGCAACGTTATTGTTGTGCCAACTTTCAACGGAAACGTCATCGTCAGCGGCAAGTTTTATAAAGCAACTTTTAAAGCGAATATTTTAATTTTAAATTTTGGCAGTTGACGTTTATTGTTTTCGTTGACATGCGCAAAATAGCGATGGCGCTGCCGTCGCACACATTAACCCCCCATGCCACTCACTCAAAATAAATGAGGTTACGTGAGCCTAATTTTCCCGCCTAAATCTTGCTTTGTTGTTTGAAAGTTTCAACTCGATTTTTCCGCAATTATAACGAATAAATCATGGATGTAGCCAACGTCCAAGTGGGCCAAAGACAACACGTCGATGAGATCGGTGTCAGGTGCCAGAAACTGTTCCAGGATTTCTTGGAAGAGTGAGTACTCTCTTGACGCTCTAACCCGCTTAATTAATAACAATCATGTAGATACAAAGAAGACGGCGAAACTAAATATCTAGAACCGGCTAAAGAACTCCTCAACCAAGAACGCAGCACCATTGAAGTGAGTTTCGAGGACTTGGAAAAGTACAACCAGAATCTCGCCACGACGGTCATCGAAGAGTACTACCGAATATACCCCTTCATCTGTCAGGCCGTCTCTAATTTCGTCAAAGACCGCAGCGACTTAAAGAAACACAAAGAATGTTACGTCAGCTTCGTGGATGTGCCCACAAGGCACAAAGTACGCGAATTAAAAACAGAGAAGGTGGGGACTTTGATTCGAATCTCAGGACAGGTTATCCGGACTCACCCCGTTCATCCTGAGCTGATTTTGGGGACTTTCGTGTGTTTGGATTGCCAGACGGTGATTAAAGATGTGGAGCAGCAGTTCAAGGTTGGTGTTTTAAATTTTCATCGGGTTGTAATAATTTTTTTTTTTTTTAGTTTACCAATCCGACGATTTGCCGAAATCCCGTGTGTAGTAACAGAAGGAGGTTTATGCTGGATGTGGATAAGTCGTTGTTTATCGATTTCCAAAAAGTGAGGATTCAGGAGACACAAGCCGAGTTGCCCCGGGGGTGCATCCCAAGGTGTGTGGAGGTGATTCTGAGGGCCGAGAATGTTGAAAGTGTGCAGGTGGGTGTTATGAATTTTTACTGAGTAAATTTATTGACCCTAGAAATCATTGTCTAGGCCGGCGACCGCTACGACTTCACGGGCACCCTCATCGTGGTCCCCGACGTGGGGGCCCTCAGTCTCCCGGGGGCGCAAGCCCAGATCAGCTCCCGGCACAAAGCCGGCGACGAAGCCGAAGGAGTCCGCGGTCTGAAAGCCCTCGGCGTGCGCGACCTCCATTACCGCATGGCCTTCTTGGCCTGCAGCGTCCAGCCCACGAACCCCAAATTCGGGGGCATCGAGCTGCCTCTGAACGAGATCACCCCCGAGCTCATGCGCCAGCAAATGACCGAGGGCGAGTGGAATCACATGTACGAGATGAGCCACGACAGGAACCTGTACGTGAACCTCATCAACAGCCTCTTCCCCAGCATCCACGGGAACGAAGAAGTGAAGAAGGGGATTCTGCTGATGTTGTTCGGGGGGGTCTCCAAGACCACGGTGGAGGGGACCGCGCTCAGGGGGGACATCAATTGTTGCATCGTGGGGGATCCAAGCACGGCGAAGAGTCAGTTTTTGAAACAGGTTTCAGAGTTTTCACCTAGGGCGGTGTACACGTCGGGGAAGGCGTCGTCGGCGGCGGGCTTGACGGCGGCGGTGGTGAGGGACGAGGAGTCGTCTGATTTCGTGATCGAGGCGGGGGCGTTGATGTTGGCGGATAATGGGGTGAGTAAATAATTGTCTAGTAGGCCATGAATTTTATTGTTAAAATAATGATGTTGGCAATGGCAACGCGGTGCTGTTACCAACATAATTTTTATTCCCGAGAGTAAAGTAAGGAAGTATTGTAATCGAGTCCATCAGGCGACTGGCTACTTTCATGTTTTTGACGTTTCATGACCCCTAGAACATGAACAAAATTCGTCCCTGTTTTCTGTAGTAAATATTTTTTAGATTTTACTATTTTATTAAAAAAAAAAACTTCATATTTCAGTTTTGGAGTTTTTCAGTATCAATTCTTCAGTTTTTCGATATTTCGGTGTTTGGATTTTTCAATCATTCTTCGATTTCTTGATTTTTTTCATTCATCGATTTCTCAATTTTTCGATGTTTCAGTGTTACCAATTTTTGACGCTTCTAAATTTTCGATATTTTAATTTCTCGATTAATCAATTTTTTAGTTTTTCAATTCTTTAATTTTTCGATTTTCCAGGATTTTGTTTTTTCAATTTCTCGATTTTTTCATTTTTCGATTTCTCAATTTTTCGGGGTTTCTGTTTTTCGATTTTTGTTTTGGACTTTTCGATTGCTCGAATTCTCGATTTTTCTATTTTTGAAAATTTTTGATTTTTTAAGTTTTCGATTTCTCCACTTTTCAAATTTTTTGGTTTCCTCATTTACCGATGTTTCAGTTTTGGGATTTTTTCAATTTTTAAATTTTTCAGCATTTTGATTCTTTTTTTTATTTTTTTAGATTTTTCAATTTTTCGATTCCTCAATTTTTCTTCATTTTTCAATTCTTGGATATTTCGGTTTTGAAATTTTTCAATATTTCGATTCTTTGACTTTTCGCCCTTTCGGTGGTCTTCGAATTTTTCAATTTCTCGGTTTTTTCATTTTTCGATTTCTCGATTTTTTATTCTTAGATTTCTCAATTTTTCGATGATTCAGTTTTACGATTTTTCAGTTTTTGACGCTTCCAAATTTTCGATATTTTAATTTCTCGATTAATCAATTTTTTGCTTGTTCGACTTTTCGATTTCTCGACTTCTTGAGTTTTCGATTTTTTAGTTTTTCAATTCTTCATATTTTCGATTGTTCAGGTTTTTGTTTTTGAGTTTGTCGATTTTTTAAAATTTTCGATTTTCCGACTTTTCAATTTTTCGATTTCTTAATTTACCGATGTTTCAGTTTTGGGATTTTTCAATTTTTTGATTTTTTTAGATTTTTCGATTCTTCAATTTTTTTTTATTTTTTCAATTTTCCGATTGTCAGTTTTGAGATTTTTCAATATTTCAATTCTCCGATTTTTCACTTTTTCGATTTTGTGATTTTTAAATTTTTGATTTTCAGTTTGTGAAATTTTTAGATTTTTAGATTTCTCGATTTTTCAGGCGATCGATATTTCCATTTTTCAATTATTCGAATCTTTAAATTTAAGAATTTAGGTTTTTCCGTTCTTTGATTTTTCGATTTCTCAATTTTTCGATTTTTTAATTTTTCAATTTTTCGATTTCCTAATTTACCGATATTTCATTTTTGAGATTTTTTAATTTTTCGATCTTCGATTTTTCGTCTTTTCGATTTTGCGATTTTTAAATTTTTGATTTTCAATTTTCCGATATTTTAATTTTTCAGTTTTTGAAATTTTTAGATTTTTTAGTTCAAAATTTCTATTTTTCAATTTTTCGAATTTCTAAATTCAAAAATGTAGATTTTTATGTTTTTTGATGTTTCGATTTTTCAGTTTTTAAATTTTTTGGTTTTTCAGTTCGTCGATTTTTCTATTTTTCAAATTTTTGATTTCTCGATTTTTCAGTTTTTCGATTTTTCAATATTTCGATCCTTCGATTTTTAAATTTTAGATTTCCAATTTTTCGATTTTTAAATTTTAGATTTTAACAAATTTCGATTTAAAAATTAAAACTTTTCAGTTCCTTGATGTTTCGTTTTCTCGACCTTTCGTTTCGATTTTTCGTCTTTTCGATTTTGCGATTTTTAAATTTTAGATTTTCAATTTTTCGATATTTTAATTTTTCAGTTTTTAAAATTTTTAAATTTTTTGGTTTTTCAATACAAATTCGAATTTTTAAATTCAAAAATGTAGATTTTTCAAATTTTCGATTTCCTAACTTACCGATGTTTCAGTTTTGGGATTTTTCAGTTTTTCGCGATTTCAGTTTTTGACTTTTTGAACATTTCGATTCGTGAATTTTTCGATTTTTTTAGATTTTTCGATTTTTCGATATTTCAGTTTTGTGATTTTTCAATATTTCGATCCTTCGATTTTTCGATTTTCAATTTTTCAATATTTTAATTTTTCAGTTTTTTAAAATTTTTAGATTTTAAGAAATTTCGAATTTTTAAATTTAAAAATTAAAATTTTTCAGTTCCTTAATATTTTGATTTCTCTCTTTCGTTCCGATTTTTTGAATTTTCGGTTGTAGATTTTTAAATTTCAGATTTTCAATTTTTCGAAATTTTAATATTTCAATTCTTGATGTTTCTATTTTTCAAATTTATCGTTTTTTAAAATTTTCGATTTTTCGCCTTTTTAATCTTTGTAATTTTCATATTTTTCGAATCTTCAATATTTCGATTTTTTGACGTATTGATTTCTCGATTTTTTAATTTTTCGTTTTTCTAATTTACCGATGTTTCAATTTTGGGATTTTTTCAATTTTTCAATATTTCAGTTTTGAATTTTTCAACATTTCGATTCTTCATTTTTTTTATTTTTTTTAGATTTTTCTATTTTTTGATGTTTTGATTTCCGAATTCTTTAATTTTTCTTCGTATTTTCAATTTTTCGATTTTTGATTCTTCGATTTTTCGTCTTTTAGATTTTTTACTTTTTCGATTTTGCGATTTTTAAATTTTAGATTTTCAATTTTTCGATATTTGTATTTTTCAGTTTTTCGAATTTTCGAATTTAAAAATGTAGATTCTTCAGTTTTTTGATGTTTCGATTTCTTGATCTTTGGATTTTTCAATTTTTCAATTTCCAACTTTACCGATGTTTCAGTTTTGGAATTTTTCAATTTATCGATTTTTTTAGATTTTCCGATTTTTTGATGTTTCGATTTTTTACTTCTCCAATTTGCGATTTTTTGATGTATTGATTTTTCGATTTTTCAATTTTTCGATTTCTCGGTTTTTTCAATTTGTTTTTTCGATTTTTAAATTGTAGATTTTTCAATTTCTCGATCTTTGATCTTTCGATTTTCCAATTTTTGACTTTTCGGTTTTAGATTTTTCAGTTTTTCAATTTTCCGATTTCTAAAATTTTTGATTTTTCGGTCAGTTTGTTGATTTTTCAATTTTCGGATATTTCGACTTTTTGATTTCTGGATCTTTTGATGTTCCGTTTCTCGATGTTTCGATTTTTCGATTTTTTTCGATTTTTCAATTTTTCGATATTTCAGTTTTGGGATTTTCCAATATTTCGATCCTTCGATTTTTCGATTTCTAAATTTTAGATTTTCAATTTTTCAGTTTTTTAAAATTTTTAGATTTTAAGAAATTTCAATTTTTTAGTTTTTCGAATTTTTAAATTTAAAAATTAAAATTTTTCAGTTCCTTGATGTTTCGATTTCTCTATCTTTCGTTTCAATTTTCTGAATTTTCGGTTGTAAATTTTTTAAATTTCACATTTTCAATTTTTCGAAATTTTAATATTTCAATTCTTAAAATTTTTAGATTTTTAGATATTTCGATTTTTCAGGTTTTCGATATTTCTACTTTTTAATTTTTCGAATTTTTTAACTTAAAAATTTAGATTTTTCAGTTTGATGTTTCTGTTTTTCAAATTTATCGTTTTTTAAAATTTTTGATTTTTGAATTTCTCGATTTTCAATTTCTGTATTATTCGATTTTTCAATTTTTCGATTTCCTAAATTACCGATGTTTCAGTTTTGGTATTTTTCAGTTTTTCGATAGTTCAGTTTTTGAAATTTTTCATTTCGATTTTTCAATTTATGATTTTTTTAGATTTTTGTTTTTTTTAATGTTTCGTTTCTCAATTTTTCAATTTTTCGAATCTTCAATATTTCGATTTTTCGACGTATTGATTTCTCGATTTTTTAATTTTTCGTTTTTCTAATTTACCGATGTTTCAATTTTGGGATTTTTTCAATTTTTCAATATTTCAGTTTTGAATTTTTCAACATTTCGATTCTTCATTTTTTTTTTTTAGATTCTTCCATTTTTTGATGTTTCGATTTCTGAATTTTTTAATTTTTCTTCGCATTTTCAATTTTTCCATTTTTGATTTTTCGATTTTTCGTCTTTTAGATTTTTTACTTTTTCGATTTTGGGATTTTTAAATTTTAGATTTTCAATTTTTCGATATTTGTATTTTTTAGTTTTTCGAATTTTCGTTTTTTTAAATTTTTCAATGTTTCGATTTCTCGTTTATTATTCGAATTTTAGATTTTTCGATTTCTCAATTTTTCGATGTTTTAATTTTTCGATTTTTTGGTTTTTGGATTTTTCGATTACTCGAATTCTCAATTTTTTGAATTTTTAATTTTTCTATTTTTCAAATTTTCGATTTCCTAATTTACCGATATTTCAGTTTTGGGATTTTTTAATATTTGGATCTTCGATTTTTCGTTTTTTCGATTTTGCGATTTTTAAATTTTAGGTTTCCAATTTTTCGATATTTTAATTTTTCAGTTTTTAAAATTTTTAAATTTTTTGATTTTTCAATACATTATTCGAATTTTTAAATTCAAAAATGTAGATTTTTTTGTTTTTGATGTTTCGATTTTTCGGTTTTTAAATTTTAGATTTCTCGATTTTTCAAATTTTTGATTTCCTAATTTACCGATGTTTCAGTTTTGGGATTTTTCAATTTATCGATATTTCAGTTTTTTACTTTTTGAACATTTCGATTTTTTTAGATTTTTCAATTTTTCGATATTTCAGTTTTGGGATTTTTCAATATTTCGATCCTTCGATTTTTCGATTTCTAAATTTTAGATTTTCAATATTTTAATTTTTCGGGTTTTTAAAATTTTTAGATTTTAAGAAATTTCGATTTTTTAGTTTTTCGAATTTTTAAATGTAAAAATTAAAATTTTTCAGTTCCTTGATGTTTCGATTTCTCTATCTTTCGTTTCAATTTTCTGAATTTTCGGTTGTAAATTTTTAAATTTCACATTTTCAATTTTTCGAAATTTTAATATTTCAATTCTTAAAATTTTTAGATTTTTAGATATTTCGATTTTTCAGGTTTTCGATATTTCTGGTTTTTAATTTTTCGAATTTTTTAACTTAAAAATTTTGATTTTTCAGTTTGATGTTTCTGTTTTTCAAATTTTTCGTTTTTCAAAATTTTCGATTTTTGAATTTCTCGATTTTCAATTTCTGGATTATTCGATTTTTCAATTTTTCGATTTCCTAAATTACCGATGTTTCAGTTTTTGAATTTTTCATTTCGATTGTTCAATTTATTATTTTTTTAGATTTTTCGATTTTTTTTTGATGTTTCGTTTCTCAATTTTTCAATTTTTCGAATCTTCAATATTTCGATTTTTTGAAGTATTGATTTCTCGATTTTTTAATTTTTCGTTTTTCTAATTTACCGATATTTCAATTTTGGGATTTTTTCAATTTTTCAATATTTCAGTTTTGAATTTTTCAACATTTCGATTCTTCATTTTTTTGATTTTTTTTTAGATTCTTCCATTTTTTGATGTTTTGATTTCTGAATTCTTTAATTTTTCTTCGCATTTTCAATTTTTCGATTTTTGATTCTTCGATTTTTCGTCTTTTAGATTTTTTACTTTTTCGATTTTGCGATTTTTAAATTTTAGATTTTCAATTTTTCGATATTTGTATTTTTTAGTTTTTCGAATTTTAGATTTTTCGATTTCTCAATTTTTCGATGTTTTAATTTTTCGATTTTTTGGTTTTTGGATTTTTCGATTTTTCAATTTTTCGATTCTTCAATATTTCGATTTTTTGATGTATTGATTTCTCGATTTTTTAATTTTTCGTTTTCCTAATTTACCGATGTTTCAATTTTGGGATTTTTAAATTTTGGGATTTTTCAATTTTTCAATACATTCAGTTTTGAATTTTTCAACATTTCGATTCTTCATTTTTTCGATTTTTTGATGTGTCGATTTCCCGATTCTTTAATTTTTCTTCGTATTTTCTATTTTTCGATTCTTCTATTTTTCGTCTTTTAGATTTTTTACTTTTTCGATTTTGCGATTTCTAAATTTTCAATTTTTCGATATATATATATATATATTTTCCAGTTTTTCGAATTTCCAAATGTAAAAATGTAGATTCTTCAGTTTTTTGATGTTTCGATTTCTCGATTTTTCGATTTTTCCGCTTTTCGGATTTTTTGGTGTTACAAGTTATCAAGATTTCAGAGTTTAGATTTTTCGATGAATTATTGATTTTTTCAATTTTTTGATTTTTGACGTTTCTAAATTTTCCATTTCTCGACTTTTCGATTTTTGACTTTTTCATTTCTAAAGTTTTTGATTTTTTAAATTTTCCATTTTTCGACTTTGGTTTCTCGATTTTTCAATTTTTCGAGTTATCGAGATTTCGATGTTTCGATTTATCGTCTTTTTTTTTTAATTTAAAATTTGCCAATTTTTCAATTTTTGGATAGTCCGACTTTTTGATTTCTGGATCTTTTGACGTTCAGTTTTTCGTCATTTCAGTTTTGGAATTTTCGATTTGTCGGTTTTTTAAATATTATCATATTTTTACAGGATTTGTTGGGTTATTCTTCAGGGGCGAGGGAAGTTCTGTCGAAATAACCTTGAACCAATATTTTAAGATTAAATTTCATGGTTGCCGGTTTTTTCTCATCAACATTTGTATATATGTTTGCGTACACGCTCCTATCCTTGTTGCGTCCTTTTACCATCCAGTCAATCCTGCGTCCTCCATATTTTAACGAAGAACACCCACTTACCCCCGTTGGTAGGTCTGTTGCATAGACGAATTCGACAAAATGGACCCCCGCGACCAAGTGGCCATCCACGAAGCCATGGAACAGCAAACCATCTCCATAGCCAAAGCCGGCGTCCGCGCCACCCTCAACGCCCGCACCTCCATCCTGGCGGCGGCCAACCCCATCGGGGGCCGCTACGACCGCGCCAAATCCCTCCAGCAGAACATCGCCCTCTCGGCCCCCATCATGTCCCGTTTCGATCTCTTCTTCATCCTCGTCGACGAGTGCAACGAAGTCATCGATTACGCAATCGCTCGAAAAATCGTCGATTTGCACAGCAACGTCGAAGAGTCAATCGATAGGGTGTACTCGAAAGAAGAAGTTCTTCAGTATATATCGTTCGTGAGAAGATTCAAGCCTGTGATTAATCCAGAGGCGGCGGAATTGTTAGTCCGACACTACAATCACCTCAGGCTGAGAGACACAGCAACCAGTGGAAAATCCACCTGGAGGATCACCGTTCGTCAGCTCGAAAGCATGATTCGACTGGCCGAAGCCATGGCGAAGATGGAAATTTCGGACGAAGTGCTGCCAAAACACGTCAAGGAAGCGTACAGGTTGTTGAATAAGTCTATCATCAGAGTGGAACAGCCGGATATACACTTGGACGATGATGGAAACGAAAATTTGATCGACGACGAGGAAATGCCAGCGGAAGAGATTCCTCAGCAAGCCGCGAAGAAGAAGTTGCAGTTGAGTTTTGAGGATTATAAAATTTTGAGTAATAAGATTGTGGTACATATGAGGAGGGAGGAGGAGAGGAGGGATGAAGAGAATCAGGAGGGTATAAAGAGGAACGATTTGGTGGAGTGGTACTTGAATATGATTTCGGATGACGTGGAGAGTGAGGAGGAGTTAGTGGAGAAGAAGGAGCTGATTGATAAAGTCATCGACAGGTTGATTTATCACGTGAGTATTGGGTTTTTAGGTTTGGAAGGTTGGTAACGTGGTGGTTGCAGGATCAAGTTATTATTCCGCTGACGAGGACGGGATTAGGGAGGGATCAAGAAGAGGACGAGAATCCGCTGCTTGTGGTGCACCCGAATTATATCATTGATTGATTGGTTTTATATTTAAGTTTTTTGTTGTAATGTTGATGTATGTAATAAACATATTTGCATATTTTTGTATTTTTTAATTAAAACTATCTTCGCTTCTGTTATTCCACCACCATGGTTTCCGCAAATATTCGACCACGAACGCACATGATTACAGATTCCTGTAATGCAAGACAATTAAATGTCAATTTTTTTAAAGTTCTCTCTGGTTCCATTCACTTGCAAACGAAATTTTAATAAACATTTTGGTAATTTGTTTATATTTTTATTAATATTTGTCACAACGTGTATCGAACGATGTATAACGAATTTCAACAAATCTTTTTAAATGTGTGTATGCAACCAGTTATACATTGTAGAGATTTCTCTGGTTCTAACTAACTGATTTTTTTACGATAATTCTTATATCATCAGTTTTGTGGGGGAATAAACAGGCAGATTTTGGTTAACAATTTACCATGCAAACAATAACTTTAAAACATCTGCAAGATTTCGAAGTATTCAGTTTAGCAATTCTTCATTTATTCAATAAAATAACTGATTGACTGATTCATTTTTTTAGTGTCCCTGTATAAGCAAATCTAAAAAATGGGGTTCTTAATTTGGTCAATAAAAAATTGATCGAAGGCTAAGTATAAGCCGACAAACCCCGCCTTTAAAAAATGATAAAATTTGATTTTATTTCACATCATAAGCATGTTAAATTTTTGATCAGAATGTATTTGGTCGTCCTCACTAAAAAATTCATGACGTCACCTCAAAATTTTGCTGAATAAATCCTATCTAAAATGTACAAAATATGGTGAGTCTCTCCTTGATATTTATCATTCCATTCATATTTTTTGGATTCGGATATATAGGGTGACTCAAAAAATTTAATGAATGCGCAAATTTATTTTATTAATTTAATCAGGAACTACAAAACCGAATGATTTGAAAACTTGGAAATGGTTTAAATTTATCATAAGCATGGTAAATTTTTGTTCAAAATATAATTATTTGCTCATCCCTCCTAAAAAATGGATGACGCCACCCCAAAATTTTGCTGAATAAATCCTATCTAAAATGTATAAAATATGATGAGTCTCTTCTTGTGATTTATCATTCCATTCATGTTTTTTGGATTTGCATATACAGGATGACCCCAAAAATTAATGAATGCTTAAATTTATTTTATTGATTTAATCAGGAACTACAAAACCGAATGCTTTGAAATCTAATGTGAAAAAAAAACATAATGGACATGCAGTCGTCACGTTTCCGAGAGCGAGGGAAGTACTGTCTAAACCCTTTAGACCGATTTTTTTGATTTTCCCATTTTTCAATATATCAGCTTTAGAATTTTGCAATATTTCGTTTCTTCAATTTTTAAAATTTTTGATATTGTGTTTTCTCGGTTTTTAAATTTTTCGATATTTTAATTTTTCAGTTTTTAAAGTTTTAGGTTTTTAGATTTCTCACTATCTCGACTTTTCGATTTTTCAGTTCCATGATTTTTCAATTTGTAGATTTTTTGTTTTCTTTGATGTTTTGAGTTTCTCGAATTCATTTCAATTTTTGACGTTTTTAAATTTTTCGATTTCTCAATTTTTCGATTAACTGATTTTTTATTTTCCCATCTCTCTATTTCTCGATTTTTCAATTCTTTCTTCAATTGTGATTTTTCAATTTTTCGATTTCTAAATTTTTCAATACATATTTCAGTTTTGGATTTTCCGATTCTTCTATTTTCTTTCCATTTTTCAGTTTTTCAAGATTTCAGTTTTGAATTCTTTCACTTTTTCGATTTTTCAATTTTCCTTCCATTTTTCAGTTTTTCAGTATTTCAGTTCTGGGGTTTTGCAATGTTTCGGTTCTTCAATTTTGCCATTTTTTGATGTTTCGATTTCTCGGTTTTTCAATTTTTCGATAGGTATTTTAATTTTTCAATTTTTAAGTTCTAGATTTTCCGTTAATTTTTTGTTTTCCTTGATGTTTTGATTTGTCGATTATTCGATTTTTCAAGTTCTCGGTTTAGATTTTTTGGTTTTCCAATTCTTCGATTTTTAAATTGTTTAATTTTTAGATTGTTCAATTTCTCGATTTTTAGATTTTTCAATTTTTCGGTTTACCGATTTTTTTTCAATTAAAATGTTTAAATTTTTCAATTATTAACTTTTCGATTTTTCAATTTTGGTCTAATTTGATTTCTTAATTTTTTGATTTTTTGACTCCTCTATTGTTGATGTTTTGATTTCTCGATGTTTCAGTTTTTGAACATTCCGATGTTTCGATTTTTCGACTTTTTGGCTTTTCGAGTGTTGAATTTTTTGATTTTTGAATTTTAGATTTTTGTTTTTTTGATTTTTTGGTGTTTCGATTTCCCAATTCTTCAATTTTTCGATATTTTAATTTTTCAATTTTTCGAATTTTTAAATTTTTAATTTTTCTTTTCTTTTATTTCTCAATTTTTGGATATTTTAAATTTAACATTTTTCTATTTTACTATTTTTTGATGCTTGGATTTGTCAATTTTTCAAGCTTTCAATCTAAATTTTTCAGGATTTGAATATTGAGAACTTTTCAATTTCTGGATTTTCGATTTTCAGATATTTTCATTTTTTGATTTTTTAATATTTCGATTTTTGGCATGCAGTCGTCATGTTTTCGATAGCGAGGGAAGTACTGTCTAAACACTTTAGACCGATTTTTTTTATTTTCCCATTTCTCCATTTTCTAATTTTTCAGTGTTTCAGTTTGGGATTTTTTCACTATTTCGATTCTTTAATTTTCCTTCCAATTTTAGGTTTTTCAGTGTTTCAGCTTTGGAATTTTGCAATATTTCGTTTCTTCAATTTTTCAAATTTTTGATATTGTGTTTTCTCGGTTTTTAAATTTTTCGATATTTTAATTGTTCAGTTTTTAAAGTTTTAGGTTTTTAGATTTCTCACTATCTCGACTTTTCCGATTTTTCAGTTCGATGATTTTTCAATTTGTCGAATTTTTAAATTTTAGATTTTTTGTTTTCTTTGATGTTTTGAGTTCTCGATCATTCGATTTTCTGAGTTTTCAGGCTTGGATTTTTTTGTTGTTCAATTCTTGGATTTTTAAAATTCTCCTTTTTTAAATTTTCCTATTTATCAACTTACTGGGATTTCAATGTTTTGATTTTTTGATTGTTCAATTTCTCGATTTTTTGAATTTTTAGCTTTTGATACGATTTTTTTTTTCAAAAATTTTCAGTTTTTCGATTTATTAACTTTACGATACTTCAGTTTTGCTCGATTTCGATTTCTCAATTTTTCGATATATTACTGTTGGGATTTTCCAATTTATCGATTCTTCGATTTCTCGATTCTTCATATTTTCGGTTACTCGAATTTTTTTATTTTTCGGTTTCTCAATTTTCCGATGTTTCAGTTTTACGATTTTTAATTTTTTTTATCTGTCAGTTTTCAATTTTTGACGTTTCTAAATTTTTCGATTTCTCAATTTTTCGATTAACTGATTTTTTTATTTTCACGTTTCTCTATTTCTCGATTTTTCAATTCTTTCTTCAATTGTGATTTTTCAATTTTTCGATTTCTGAATTTTTCACTGTTTCAGTTTTGGAATTTTTCACTTTTCCGATTCTTCCATTTTCTTTCCATTTTTCAGTTTTTCAAGATTTCAGTTTTGAATTCTTTCACTTTTTCGATTTTTCAATTTTCCTTCCAATTTTCAGTTTTTCAGTATTTCACTTCTGGGATTTTGTAATGTTTCGGTTCTTCAATTTTTCCATTTTTTGATGTTTCGATTTCTCGGTTTTTCAATTTTTCGATAGGTATTTTAATTTTTCAATTTTTAAGTTCTAGATTTTCCGTTAGTTTTTTTTGGTTTCCTTGATGTTTTGATTTGTCGATTATTCGATCTTTCAAGTTCTCGGTTTAGATTTTTTGGTTTTCCAATTCTTCAATTTTTAAATTGTTTAATTTTTAGATTGTTCAATTTCTCGATTTTTAGATTTTTCAATTTTTCGTTTTACCGATTTTTTTTCATTTAAAATGTTTCAATTTTTCAATTACTAACTTTTCGATTTTTCAATTTTGGTCTAATTTGATTTCTTAATTTTTTGATTTTTTGACTCCTCTGCTGTTGATGTCTTGATTTCTCGATGTTTCAGTTTTTGAACATTCCGATCTTTCGATTTTTCGACTTTTTGGCTTTTCGAGTGTTGAATTTTTTGATTTTTGAATTTTAGATTTTTGTTTTTTGATTTCTTTGGTGTTTCGATTTCCCAATTCTTCAATGTTTCGATATTTTAATTTTTCAATTTTTCGAATTTTTAAATTTTTGATTTTTCTTTTCTTTTATTTCTCAATTTTTGGATTTTTTAAATTTTACATTTTTCAATTTTACTATTTTTTGATGCTTGGATTTCTCAATTTTTCAAGCTTTCAATACTCAATTTTTCAGGAATTGAATATTGAGAACTTTTCAATTTCTGGATTTTCAATTTTCAGATATTTTCATTTTTTGATTTTTTAATGTTTCGATTTTTGGCATGCAGTCGTCACGTTTCCGATAGCCAGGGAAGTACTGTCTAAACCCTTTAGACCGATTTTTTTGATTTTCCCATTTCTCAATTTTTCAATGTTTCAGTTTGGGATTTTTTCACTGTTTCGATTCTTTAATTTTCCTTCCAATTTTAGGTTTTTCAATGTTTCAGCTTTGGAATTTTGCAATATTTCGTTTCTTCAATTTTTCAAATTTTTGATATTGTGTTTCTCGGTTTTTAAATTTTTCGATATTTTAATTTTTCAGTTTTTAAAGTTTTAGGTTTTTAGATTTTTCACTATCTCGACTTTTCGATTTTTCAGTTCCATGATTTTTCAATTTGTCGAATTTTTAAATTTTAGATTTTTTGTTTTCTTTGATGTTTTGAGTTCTCGATCATTCGATTTTCTGAGTTTTCAGGCTTGGATTTTTTTTGTTGTTCAATTCTTGGATTTTTAAAATTTTTCTTTTTTAAATTTTCCTATTTATCAACTTACTGGGATTTCAATGTTTTGATTTTTTGATTGTTCAATTTCTCGATTTTTTGAATTTTTAGTTTTGATACGATTTTTTTTTTCAAAAATTTTCAGTTTTTCAATTTATTAACTTTACGATACTTTAGGTTTGCTCGATTTCGATTTCTCAATTTTTCGATATATTACTGTTGGGATTTTTCAATTTATCGATTTTTCGATTTCTCGATTCTTCATATTTTCGGTTTGTCGAATTTCTTCATTTTTCGTTTTCCCAATTTTCCGATGTTTCAGTTTTACGATTTTTAATTTTTTTTTTCAGTTTTCAATTTTTGACGTTTCTAAATTTTTGGATTTCTCAATTTTTCGATTAACTAATTTTTGTATTTTCCCATTTCTCTATTTCTCGATTTTTCAATTCTTTCTTCAATTGTGATTTTTCAATTTTGCGATTTCTGAATTTTTCAATGTTTCAGTTTTGGATTTTTTCACTTTTCCGATTCTTCAATTTTCTTTCCATTTTTCAGTTTTTCAAGATTTCAGTTTTGAATTCTTTCACTTTTTCGATTTTTCAATTTTCCTTCCATTTTTCAGTTTTTCAGTATTTCAGTTCTGGGATTTTGCAATGTTTCGGTTCTTCAATCTTTCCATTTTTTGATGTTTCGATTTCTCGGTTTTTCAATTTTTCGATAGGTATTTTAATTTTTCAATTTTTAAGTTCTAGATTTTCCGTTAATTTTTTTGGTTTCCTTGATGTTTTGATTTGTCGATTATTCCATTTTTCTAGTCCTCGGTTTAGATTTTTTGGTTTTCCAATTCTTCGATTTTTAAATTGTTTAATTTTTAGATTTTTCAATTTTTCGGTTTACCGATTTTTTTTCATTTAAAATGTTTCAATTTTTCAATTACTAACTTTTCGATTTTTCAATTTTGGTCTAATGTGATTTCTTAATTTTTTGATTTTTTGACTCCTCTACTGTTGATGTTTTGATTTCTCGATGTTTCAGTTTTTGAACATTCCGATGTTTCGATTTTTCGACTTTTTGGCTTTTCGAGTGTTCAATTTGTTGATTTTTGAATTTTAGATTTTTGTTTTTTTGATTTTTTTGGTGTTTCGATTTCCCAATTCTTCAATTTTTCGATATTTTAATTTCTCAATTTTTGGATTTTTTAAATTTTACATCGCGTATAGCCCATTGTTATTACATAATTTAATTCGAAAATGGAAAAAAATGTCATCTATGTATATGTACATCCAACTACATTTTCGGAAAAATTTCGTTTTTTTTTGTAAATCTTTTTGCTGCTCCCAGGACACTTACTACCAATTGACCTCTTTCCGACTCTGATCCCTTACCGCGTTCGCACTTAGCGCAGATCAATAGCTTCGCCATGCGACCATACCTATTTCAGTATTAAACAATTACTTGTTGGTACAATGGTTTCCCTATCAGTTTAATTATTTGAGTTGGATTAGTCTTTGGTACTCGAAACGGTTTATTTTAGATTTAAACATAGGTAGACGTAAGTGCCACCCTCTCCCGCCTCCACTCCACTAAATTTTGTTTACCTTGTAGTAAGTAGTTACAAAAATGGCAAAGCTAGACGGAGTCGGCTTAGGATATTCCTATCACCTCCCCTCGGGAGGATGGATGCTAAGGATGAGAAACGTCTTGTCGCAGTTTAGTGATCTTTTTAGCGAGTTTGATAAATATATAGCACCGGCGTACCACCACGACAGGTGCGAAAGGTGAGTATTTTTGAGGATTTCTTCGAGGTTCTAGGGTCTGTTTTAGGTCGGTTTATATGAGACTGTACTCCATGCATAAAAGGGAGTTTGTTGTAGTTTTCATAGCGTTTTTTGCGTGTTTTGGGTTAGGGTTGTTCATAGGAGTGGCAGGTGGGTTCTCACACCTTCTATTTAATTCTTAAATAATCGTCTCGGGGATCCAGGTCCTCCAATAACTACCACTACAGAAGTGGATGGGAAATCGTTGTTGACCAAAGACAACCACACGAATGCTGTGGCAACAGGTCCTTTTATTATGAAAACGCCGCCCTTGACGACGTACTCCCAGCAGCTTTGGGTTATCGCTAAACTATCCACCCAAAACACAGACGGTAAAAAAAAGACATTTTTGAACGTGTCTATATTTGCTTTTTCTAGACGAATCTTTTGATAAGAGTTTTTTGGTGGCGGTTACTATAGAAGGGCTTGACCAACAACACAAGCCCGTGAGTATTCTGGACAGTCACAATACGCGAAATAGGTAAGAAATTTGAAATTTCTCGAAAGCGCAGTTCTTTAGTTTAAAAAGGTCATGAATGCGTTGAACAGGCAGTATTTTTCCTGAAAATAAAAATTAATGAGATGACGGTGCATACTCGACTTTGCCTTAATTGTTGCCAACTCAGCTGGAAAATGTACACAAAATTATTTATTTTGGCGAGTATTTTTCACATTAATCCATCCCGAAATATCAACAGTTCTTATTTATGGACGTCTCCTTTTAAACATTTCGTGCATTTTTTTTAATCTTGGTATTCTCATAAATATTTTGCTAAATGAAGGAAACATCAATTGTCCGTCGCTACCTTATATTTTTAAATTTTTAAAAACGTTTTAAAGCATTTTTTATTATGTTCTCTTTTCGCAGTTTTTTTTAACTTAAAATGGCTTGAAACAGATTTATCGATTTGTTTTGATTTTAAAGGTCGATTTATAAACTTGCCGCTGACGTTGCCGTTGACGTTAGCTTTTCAACCAATCAAATTGCGGTAGTGTACTGTGCTGCCAACTTTCCTATGTATTTCCTTATACACATTTTCCATTTTAAATATGTTTTAAGTCCTTGTTGTGAAAAGATGACTACATAATTATATTAACAAAAAGAGGCAAAATATAAGCCCCGCCCACCCGCCCTATCGCAATTGTGATGATTTTTTTTTATTTGTGGTGATTCAAGGGGGCGGAGCTAAACTGCAAATACTTGTTTTTTACATGAAATTAGAAACATGTTTTTGCGTATCGTGTTGTTCAAAGAATACTACATATGTACATTTATTAAGAAAAAAAGACAAAATATATTTTTTCTTAATACATATAATATTTTTTGAATAACACGACACCCAAAAACACGTCTTACATGGTAATTTCTTGTAGAGAAATAATACGGATTTTGCAAATAAATTTCGCTCCTTTGGTTCTCGACGATTAAAAAAAATATCACAATAGCAATAGGGCGGGTGGGCGGGGCTTATATTGTGCCTTTCGTTTTAAACATACATAGCCATCTTTTCATAACAAATTTTCCATTTTAAATATATTTTAAGTTTCATGTTGAGAAAAGAAGTCTACACATATTAAAACAAAAAGCCAAAATCTAAGCCCCACCCACCCGCCCTATCTCAATTGTGATGATTTTTTTTATTCGCCGTGAACCAAAGGGGCGGAGCTTAACTGCAAGATACTTATTTCTTTAGAACAAAAAAAATGTTTTTGAGTATCGTGTTCAAAGAATACTATGTATATTATGAAAAAAGGCAAAATATAGACCCCGCCCACCCACCCCATCTCCATTGTGATGATTTTTTTTATTCTTAGAACCTCAAAACACGTTTAAAATGGTAAATTTTTGTAAGAAAATATGGATTTTGCAATTAAATTCCGCTCCTTTGGCCCTCGACGATTAAGAAAAAATCATCGCAATTGAGATAGGGTGGGTGGGCGGGGCTTATATTTTGCCTTTTTTTTTTTCTTAATATACATAGCCATCTTTTCACAACAAAAAACTTGGAACATTATTAAAATGGTACATTTTTGTAAAGAAATATGGATTTTGCAGTTATGTGGCGGAGCCTAATTGCAAAATCGATATTTCTTTATACAAATTTTCCATTTTAAATATATTTTAAGTTTCATGTTGTGAAAAGAAGTCTACACATATTAAAACAAAAAGCCAAAATGTATGCCCCACCCACCCGCCCTATCTCAATTGTGATGATTTTTTTTATTCGCCGTGAACCAAAGGGGCGGAGCTTAACTGCAAGATACTTATTTCTTTAGAACAAAAAAAATGTTTTTGAGTATCGTGTTCAAAGAATACTATGTATATTATGAAAAAAGGCAAAATATAAACTCCACCCACCCACCCCATCTCCATTGTGATGATTTTTTTTATTCTTAGAACCTTAAAACACGTTTAAAATGGTAAATTTTTGTAGGAAAATATGGATTTTGCAATTAAATTCCGCTCCTTTGGCTCTCGACGATTAAGAAAAAATCATCACAATTGAGATAGGGTGGGTGGGCGGGGCTTATATTTTGCCTTGTTTTCTTAAAATGTATAGTCATCTTTTCACAACAAAAAACTTGGAACATTATTAAAGTGGGACATTTTTGTAAAGAAATATGGATTTTGCAGTTATGGGGCGGAGCCTAATTGCAAAACCGATATTTCTTTATACAAATTTTCCATTTTAAATATATTTGAAGTTTCAAGTTCTGAAAAGAAGTCTACACATATTAAAACAAAAAGCCAAAATGTAAGCCCCACCCACCCGCCCTATCTCAATTGTGATGATTTTTTTTATTCGCCGTGAACCAAAGGGGCGGAGCTAACTGCAAGATACTTATTTCTTTAGAACAAAAAAAATGTTTTTGAGTATCGTGTTCAAAGAATACTATGTATATTATGAAAAAAGGCAAAATATAGACCCCGCCCACCCACCCCATCTCCATTGTGATGATTTTTTTTATTCTTAGAACCTCAAAACACGTTTAAAATGGTAAATTTTTGTAAGAAAATATGGATTTTGCAATTAAATTCCGCTCCTTTGGCCCTCGACGATTAAGAAAAAATCATCACAATTGAGATAGGGTGGGTGGGCGGGGCTTATATTTTGCCTTGTTTTCTTAAAATGTATAGTCATCTTTTCACAACAAGAAACTTGGATCGTATTATTGAGTAAGAATCTGAAAAAATCTGAAAGAATCTGAAAGGATCTGAAAGGATCTAAAAGAACCTGAAAGAATCTGAAAGAATCTGAAAGAAACTGAAGGGATCTGAAACAATCTGAAGGGATCTGAAGAGAAATTGGAAGGATGGGAAGAAATCTGAAAGAATCTCAAACAATCTGAAAGTTTCTGGAAGAATCTAAAAAAATCTGAAGGGATTTGATAGAAACTGGAAAAATCTGATGAAAACTGAAAGAAAATGAAAGAACTTGAAATAATCATAAAAAATCTGAAAGAATCTCAAGGAATCCGAAGGAACATGTAAGAATCTAAAAGAATGTGCAAAAACCTGAAGGAATCTGACAGAATGTGAGTGAATCTGAGAGAATTCAAGAGAATCTGAGAGAATTTGAGAGAGTCTACAAGAATCTGAAAGATCTTCAGGAATCTGTAAAAATTTGAAAAAATCTGAAAGAATCCGAAATAATTTGAAAAAGTTCGGAAGAATCCGATAGAATCCAAAAGAAACCGAAAGGATCCGAAAGAATCCGAAAGAACGCGAGAGTCTGATAGAATTCGAAAGAGTTCGAAAGATTCTCAAAGATTCTGAAAGAATCTGAAAGAATCTGAAAGAATCTGAAAGAATCTGAAAGAATCTGAAAGAATCTGAAAGAATCTGAAAGAATCTGAAAGAATCTGAAAGAATTTGAAAGAATCTGATAGAATCTGAAAGAATCTGACAGAATCTAAGAATATCTAAAAGAATCTGACAGAAACTGATGGGATCTGGAAGAATCTGGAGGGGTCTGAAAAAATCTGAAAGGATCTGAAAAGAAATTGGACGAATCTGAAAGAAAGCGAAAAAATCTGAAAGTATGTCAAACAATCTGAAAGAATCTGAAAAGAATTTTTAAGGATCTGAAAGAATTCTGAAGAGTGTTAACGAATCTGATGAAAACAATATAAAAGAATCCAAAAAAATCCGAAACAATTCGAAGGAATCTGAAAGAGTCTAAAACAATCTGAAAGAGGCTGGAAGAATCGAAGAAAAACTGAAGGGATCTGAAAGAAACTGGAAAAATCTGATGGAATCTGAAGAAAACTGAAGGAAACTGAGAGAATTCAGGCGAACCTGAGTGAATTTGAGAGAGTTTTAGAAGGATCTGAAAGATCTGTAGAAATGTGTAAGAATTGAAAGAATCTGAAAAAATCCGAAATAATTTGAAAAAATCCGAAAGAATCGAAAAGAATCCGACAGAATGCGAGATGGTCGACAGAATTCGCAAGATCTTCAAATAATCTAAAAGAATCAGAAAGAATCTCTAAGAATCTAACAGAATCTGAAACAATCTGAAAGAATCTGAAAAACATAAAGAATATCTGAAAGAAACTGAAGAGATCTGAAAGAATCTTAAGAGAAATTGAAAGGATGCGAAGAAATATGAAAGAATCTCAAACAACCTGAAAGGATCTGAAAGTTTCTGGAAGAATCTAAAAAATCTGTAGGGATTTGATAGAAACTGGAAAAATCTGATGAAAACTGAAAGAACTTAGAGTAAGTTTCAAGTTGTGAAAAGAAGTCTACACATATTAAAACAAAAAGGCAAAATGTATGCCCAACCCACCCGCCCTATCTCAATTGTGATGATTTTTTTTATTCGCCGTGAACCAAGGGACGGAGCGAAACTGAGAAATACTTATTTCTTTACAAGAAAAAGAAAAAATTTTTGAGTATCGTGTTCAAAGAATACTATGTATATTATGAAAAAAGGCAAAATATAAACTTCGCCCACCCACCCCATCTCCATTGTGATGATTTTGTTATTCTGAGAACCTTAAAACACGTTTAAAATGGTAAATTTTTGCAATAAAATATGGATTTTGCAATTAGGCTCCGCCCCTGGATCTGACAACGAATGAAAACTTCCTCACAATTCGGATTCGAGATTGGGGCGGGTATGGGTGGGGCTTAGACTACACGATAAGCTCCATTCTTTTGACTCACGACGAATTAAAAAAAATCATCACAATTGAAATCGGGTGGGTGGGCGGGGTTTACATTTTACCTTTTTTTCTTAATATGTGTTGATTTATTTTGAAACTTAAAACATGTCTAAAATGGTAAATTTTTGTAGTAATCAACTTAAATTCTCCTCACTTTTCTACAACCCCTTTAGATACGGCTAAAATTCAACATCAAAGTTACTATCAAAGGCAACGGAGTTTATAAATGACATGACGTGTATATTTGGTTGCATAATCTAATTTTAAAATGATAATGATAAAATATAAATTAAAATATTGTGGCTTAATTCATAATTTTAGTTCTCTGTTTTGAGGAGACAGATTCATTCAAATCAAACAAATTTCTGCGTTGTACATTCTTTGGCTGTATAAACCTAAACGCTCGAAGTTAAGCATGCTATTATTACTGAGAGATCATTTTTTCCCATTGGTTGTCTGCTTTAATTTAAAATTGTGCTTGAACTACAGGACCCGACACCTCATGTGCGAGAACCAAAATTGTGATGAATTCATCGTAATGCATCTGGGTTATTTAGACTACACCCACTACATCGTTACTGTGAATTTTTATGGACTGGAAGCCTTCCACAGACGATATAACATCAACCAGCTGACGTTCTTCGTACGTATATTAACCATTAAACTTAACCCAGCATGTGTTAAACCGAGATCTTAATTTACTACTCCATTGTGATTATTTTTTTATTTACAGTTTAAGACGTACAATCCGGCCTTCACCCAAATCGAAATCGGCTTCAGGTTCATATTTTTGTCAGCAACCTTCCTCGTAACGGTAATAAATCTCGTTCAAGCACCCATCGTTCAAAAAAAAAAATTGTCCAAAGCGCTTATTTTACAAAGTTGGTAATTTAGGAGATTTATTAAAATCACACTATTCGACGGTCGTTGAACGCCAAACAGGGCCGTATTTGTTCTAACGTGTTTACTCCGTAGTGCTGGTTCGCCTACTGCCTTCGCAAGTACGCCATCTACGACTGGTCCATCGAACAAAAGTGGATGTCCCTCTTGTTGCCACTACTGTTAGGTTATAACAGTAAGTACTGCCAACTTGTAAACTTGTCCAACACACAATGACAGATCCCATGTTCCCGATGATGTTCTTGGTGAACTCGTGGATCCCGGGGATGATCGACGCGATCGCACAAGCGACCTTCCTCTGCGCTTTGCTGCTGTTTTGGCTGTGCATCTACCACGGACTGAGACAGAACGAACGACGAATACTAACCTTCTACTTCCCGAAAGTCTTCATAGTCGCCATGTTGTGGTTCCCGGCGATTATTTTGGCCACGTGGCAGAAGTATAGTGAACTACAAGACCCGACATATAACCACTCCGCCGACACGGCGAATTTTTATGTACTTTGTTTTGTTTGTACGACTAAAAGTAACGTTGACCGTTTCAGACACTGAAGGCGTTTTTCTTCATTTTTGGGGTTGTATATCTTGTATATTTGATACTTTTGATACTGAGAGCCTATACTGAATTGAGGTCTATGCCATTTTTTGGTATGAAGTTCCAAAGTTGTGTTATTATTATTATTATTATTATTGGTGTTGTAGGACTGCGGCTGAAGTTTCTCACTTTATTGATGATCGTAGTGATTGTAATCACGTGCGTTATTACGGTGCTACGTTTCGGCGTCGGGGTGCTTGAGGATGACTTCGTAGCGAGGTTATCGACGCACTATAATAGTTCTGCCCAGTTCATGTCTTTTTATGGGCTGCTCAATTTTTACATTTATACGATGGCATATGTATATTCTCCCATTAGCAAAGCTGTTCATGGTAAGATTAGTACCACAGTCTAACTGGGTTTCATTTTTTCTTTTCAGAGTTTGATATTACGAAAGATAATCCTGCTTTTTCGATGATAAATGATTCTGATGAGGATGTCATCTATGGGTCAGACGAAGAAAGCAGAAGGCCTCTGAACAGATCTAGAAACGATGATGATAGTGATTAAGTAATATTAGTTTTTTGTTTGGGCAGCCTTTTTTTGTATTTATTGTTGACTTTTGGTGTATTTCTATATTTTTACTGTTTGATGTGTCTACTTTAGATATTTAATAAAAATAAGTGTTAAAGTTTATTTATTTTGCGCACGGTGGTAGAAGTAAGGTGTGGAAACAAACCGCTCCAATTTGTTGAATAAAACACGCATCCCAGTAGGCTTATTTACTACGAAATAGTATGCAGCACAGTATGTCCATCTATGTATTAACATTTCAACTTGTCAGTGTATTTATGAATGAATTAAGTGACAGATTCGTTGGAGGGAAAATAAATCACAGCACAACGGTTTGTGGTTGGTCCTTGGTGTGAATCGTGTGATTGGTGGATGATTCGACATTTGTGATTGGGTAATAAATGACATTGGCATAAATGTCAAAGATTTAATGCAGTTTTCTATTACTTAATTTCAACTGATCTCTCTAGACGTCGCTGCGGTGTGGACAGCGAATGACATATAATCCAAACCACGCGATTTGTGTTTTCTACCAATGATTTTGAGGAAAGTTATGAATGAGGTTTCCACACCTTACTTCTACCACCGTGATTTTGCGTTTTTCTAGTAACATAACCTCGCTTGTCACATGTCAAGTTTGTCACTTTCAAAGCAATAATACCAACTACACGTGGTGGCACGCTACAATTTAAAAATTTGCAACCATATGGAATACTTTATTTCGTGTTTATTTACCCAACACTTTTCAATATTTGCGTCGGAAAAATATGTTATTTTCCTTCCATAATTCTTAACATGCAGGATGTGGTGGAAGTTTTATTTATAAACGGCGTCGTGATTTATCACATAATTCAACCCGCAGTGGCGTGCAAACGAAAACAAGAACTAACATTTTGAACAATTTATTTCTAATAAATTACATTGAACGTACATTAAAAATTATTAACAAATCCTATTACAAATCACTGTTAGGTAGTCCTTTGGTTATTGTTATTATATTGACACAACACTTCCCGAACAACAATACAAATATATCTGATTTTAACGATTTATTACGTCATTTTTGATTGTCTACTTACAAACAACGTTGATAATTGTTATTACGTCAACAACTCTAAAACCCATAAACATGTGACATTGTGCGATATGGAGGGTTTAGGTATCACATTTAACATGAATAAAAATCTAAATACAAAATTATTCGTTTTTTAAAAAGTTCTTATTTTAAAAAGTGTTTTTAGTTTCGTGTTTATTGTTACGTCATTCGTGATAATTGTTTTCAAGGTCGTGATATTGACAGCTTATTCAACACGCAGCACCGTTGACAGAGAGAGACGGATATATGGCGCTGCGTCGTTTCTCACACGAGTCGCCCCTGGAGCGTCGTTTATTTTCGGCGAAAGTTTGGATTAGCAACGAATATCACGAATTTGAGTTTTGTCAAGTGATAGCCAATGACGTAACAGCTCCTAGGATTTATGTGATTGTCATTTAATTTTCCTTTTAACATATTAAAACTAGAACTAATCTCTAACTTGATGGTGTAGGATCCCTCGAACGGTGTGTGTAAACTATTTCATTTAATCTAAACAAATTTTATTTTTAATCGCTATTGCAGTGTTTATTACTTTAAGGTTAGTCTTCGTATATACCCTGCCATGACTTACTAAATAAACCTAACATTCACAATTTGACATCGTAACATCTCCTTTATAAAAACGTTTGTTTCTGAATACTTTAAACACACGTATCCGACTTCCCAATTGTCAAAATAAAAATATTAACACATTTTTCAGCTAATTGACGATACTGAGCGACAATATCGGTGATGCTGATCCGACTGTCAACAGCCGTTGTGCCGAGCATCCATTTATAACACGAATCAACAATCTCTTATACAATAGGGTAGTAGCTGTATAGAGGACCAAATTTGAGCCTGACAGTCGTATTTATTTTAATTGGTGGGATTTCAGTCTTTTTCTTTTGATATTTCAGTTTTTATTATTGCACTTTTGATTCAGTTTTCAGTGTCTGCCAAATTTGGCCGAGAAATTTTGGGTATATAGATTACAGGGCGGGGCTGGAAGTAAGTCATTTTAGAGTGTTAGGGACGGAGGCGGTTAAGTTGTGGAGGCTGTCATGATTGGTTGAGTCTTCGTCGGTCATGGAGTTCATTAGTTCTTCGTTTTCTTTTCGAACTGAAACAAAAATATTCAGGTTAAAATCTAACAACGAACTATACTTTTATTTTCCCAAAATTACTAATTTTTAGCTAGCTAACGCTCGGTAACTAAAATAAAATTCGCACATTCAAATTTTATCATTTTTCTAAGAAACTGGATGTGTTCGATGATACGTAAGGAGCAAGGGAAGTTCTATTTAGAACAGCAACGAAACGGTATTGTAGCGTACAGTAGCGCAATTGTAGAGTAAGTGCCACACTAAATAATTTAAAGTCAAACTAGACATTTGTATTTGACAGTAACTTGAATGGCTGCCACCTCAGACTTTCAAAATAACTATAATTATTTTGACGATTTTTTTTTTAATAATGGTATTAAATTTCCTCAATAGAAAAACTAGTATAAGAAACGGGTTCTATAAACTCATTGTCACACTCGTTTTTCCTAAAAACTCGTTTCAGAAACTTGACCTCGTCTCAAGGTTAGTTAAATTATTATTAAATGACTTTGACCTCGTCTGATAATAATGCACCCTATGACACACCCATTGCTGCCAACACTTCAGAATTGCCCCTACAAATTTTTTTTTCAATCATTAATGGTCAAGGGCTGGTTGTCAAATTTTAGGATTCCAACTCTAAAATGACCTGATCTGACCTAAATGAAATGACCTGACCTGACCAACGTCATATCAAACTTTTTTTTTAATATACCAAGTGACTAATAATGTTTGCGATTTATTTGTCAGGTTGGCAAAATATTTGAAATTTTATGATGGCATATCTAATTGTCAGTTTGAAATTTTGGGTGCCCGTCAATTCCTCATCACGTTTGTTACGCGTCCTCATCTTAAAATTGAGAACAGTGAACTGACATGGTAACATTGCTGCCAACAATTCAGAATTGCCACTAAAAAAATTTTTTTCAATCATTAATGGTCACCAACTACTTTGCGTTTATAACCGAATTTTTCAAGTACTCAAACAGAGTGCTCTAATAACTCAATTACGTTTCGTAATAAAATTGGGGTAATTTATGTTTTCAAAATTGGTATCTAGTCCTTAAAGTTAAACAAAATAAACGTCAAAATAACGAAATGATATTTTTCTGGTATTTCGGAGAATTTGTCTTCAGCATCGTTAATAATAATTTGATTATTGTGAACATTTAAACGTCAAATGCTACAATTTGACATTTGTCGTACCAACCACCACAAAATTCCCCAAAGTTTCAATAATCCAGTTTTTATTTAAAAATAGAAAAAAGGTGCTAAGTAAAAAAATTGCATAAAATAGACATTTCATGAGACATTTTATAGCATTCATCTCTTAAAAACTTGTCTGACGACTGGTTGTCTAATTTTGGCATTCCAACTCTAAAATGACCTGACTTGACTTGTCCTGAGCTGACTTGATCAACGTCTTATAAAACTTCTTTTTTAATATACCGGATGACTATTAATGTTTACGAGTTTTTTGTCAGGTTGGCAACATTTTTAAAATTCTATGATGGCGATGTCATATTTAATTGTCAGTTTGAAATGTTGAAATCCTGAGTGTCTGCCCTCTTCTCATCACGTTTGTTACGCGCCTTCATGTTAAAATTGACAAGTGTGAACTAATATGGCAACATTGCTGCCAACAATTCAGAACTGTCACTACAAAAGTGTGCTTCAATCATTAATAATCATGTGGTAGTAGTTTCTAATTCATGTTTATAACCAAAATTTTAAGGCTCCCAAACTGAGTGCTCTAATAACTTAATTAAGTTTCGTACTGGTGTAATTTATGTTTTCAAGATTGGTAATCGTTGAAGATAAACAAAGTAAGTGTCAAAATAACAAAAAGATGTTTTTCCCGTATTTCGAGGGACGTAAGATTGTCTTCAGCACCATTCATTGTTAATAATAATTTTATTATTGTGAAAATTGTAACTCCAAATGCTACAATTTGACATTTGTCGTGCCAACCACCACAAAATACACCAAAACTTTAATAACTCTAATTTTTATTCAAAATTGGAAAAAGGATGTGAAGTACAAAAGTAGCATAAAATACGCATTTCATAAGACATTTTACAGCATTCATCCCTTACAAAATTTGTCTGACGACTGGTTGTCAAATTTTTCCAACTCTAAAATGACCTGATCTGACCTAAATTCAAATGACCTGACCTGACCAACGTCATATGAAGCTTGTTTTTTAATATGCCAAGTGACTAATAATGTTTGTGATTTATTTGTCAGGTTGGCGACATACAGTAGCGGTCATTTCTACGGAACCACTCGATAAAAAGTCAAGTTGGTAGCCCTGTCATCCAGTACTTTACGTCGAACGCGGTTGGTAGCGGTAGTTGATATGGCAATCGAAACTAGCACAACACGAATGTTTCGGTTGCCCTCATTTATGCCGCACTGTATCCCGCGCAGACTGTATGTTCTGTTCATCTATTTATTAAAATAAAATATCTACATTGACAATGGGGCCATCTAACCTGTCAAATTTTTGACACATATGTTTTCCCCCAGAAACCCGTCAAGGCCACTTACACTAAACAAATTTTGAAAATTTACACTAGGGAGTGGTTCCATAGAAAAGATCGCGACTTTATTTGAGATTTTATGATGGCATATCTAATTGTCAGTTTGAAATTTTAGGTGCCTGTCAATTCCTCATCACGTTTGTTACGCGTCCTCGTCTTAAAATTGACAACAGTGAACTGACATGGTAACATTGCTGCCAACAATTCAGAATTGCCACTGACAAAATTTTTTTTCAATCATTAATGGTCACCAACTACTTCGCGTTTATAACCGAATTTTTCAAGTACTCAAACAGAATGCTCTAATAAATCAATTACGTTTCGTAATAAAATTGGGGTAATTTATGTTTTCAAAATTGGTATCTAGTCGTTAAAGACAAACAAAATAAACGTCAAAATAACGAAATGATATTTTTCTGGTATTTCGGAGAATTTGTCTTCAGCATCGTTAATAATAATTTGATTATTGTGAACATTTAAACGTCAAATGCTACAATTTAACATTCGTCGTACCAACCACCACAAAATTCCCCAAAGTTTCAATAATACAGTTTATATTTAAAAATAGAAAAAAGGTGCTAAGTAACAAAATTGCATAAAATGGACATTTCATAAGACATTTTATAGCATTCATCTCTTAAAAAACTTGTCTGACGACTGGTTGTCTAATTTTGGCATTCCAACTCTAAAATGACCTGACTTGACTTGTCCTGACCTGACTTGATCAACGTATTATAAAACTTCTTTTTTAATATACCGGATGACTATTAATGTTTACGAGTTTTTTGTCAGGTTGGCAACATTTTTAAAATTCTATGATGGCGATGACATATCTAATTGTCAATTTGAAATGATGAAATCCTGAGTGTCTGCCCTCTTCTCATCACGTTTGTTACGCGCCTTCATGTTAAAATTGACAAGTGTGAACTAATATGGCAACATTGCTGCCAACAATTCAGAACTGTCACTAAAAAAGTGTGCTTCAATCATTAATAATCATGTGGTAGTTGTTTCTAATTCGTGTTTATAACCAAAATTTTAAGGCTCCCAAACTGAGTGCTCTAATAACTTAATTAAGTTTCGTACTGGTGTAATTTATGTTTTCAAGATTGGTAATCGTTGAAGATAAACAAAGTAAGTGTCAAAATAACAAAAAGATGTTTTTCCCGTATTTCGAGGGACGTAAGATTGTCTTCAGCATCATTCATTGTTAATAATAGTTTTATTATTGTGAAAATTGTAACTCCAAATGCTACAATTTGACATTTGTCGTGCCAACCACCACAAAATTCCCCAAAACATTAATAACTCTAATTTTAATTCAAAATTGGAAAAAGATGTGAAGTACAAAAGTAGCATAAAATACACATTTCATAAGACATTTTACAGCATTCATCCCTTACAAAATTTGTCTGACGACTGGTTGTCAAATTTTTCCAACTTTAAAATGACCTGATCTGACCTAAAATCAAATGACCTGACCTGACCAACGTCATATGAAACTTGTTTTTTAATATGCCAAGTGACTAATAATGTTTGTGATTTATTTGTCAGGTTGGCAACATATTTGAAATTTTATGATGGCATATCTAATTGTCAGTTTGAAATTTTGGGTGCCTGTCCATTCCTCATCACGTTTGTTACGCGTCCTCATCTTAAAACTGACAACAGTGAACTGACATGGTAACATTGCTGCCAACAATTCAGAATTGCCACTACAAAAATTTTGTTTCAATCATTAATGGTCACCAACTACTTCGCGTTTATAACCGAATTTTTAAAGTACTCAAACAGAGTGCTCTAATAACTCAGTTACGTTTCGTAATAAAATTGGGGTAATTTATGTTTTCAAAATTGGTATCTAGTCGTTAAAGATAAACAAAATAAACGTCAAAATAACGAAATGATATTTTTCTGGTATTTCGGAGAATTTGTCTTCAGCATCGTTAATAATAATTTGATTATTGTGAACATTTAAACGCCAAATGCAATAATTTGACATTTGTAGTACCAACCACCACAAAATTCCCCAAAGTTTCAATAATCCAGTTTTTATTTAAAAATAGAAAAAAGGTGCCAAGTAAAAAAATAGCATAAAATAGACATTTCATAAGACATTTTATAGCATTCATCTCTTAAAAAACTTGTCTGACGACTGGTTGTCTAACTTTGGCATTCCAACTCTAAAATGACCTGACTTGACTTGTCCTGACCTGACTTGATCAACGTCTTATAAAACTTCTTTTTTAATATACCGGATGACTATTAATGTTTACGAGTTTTTTGTCAGGTTGGCAACATTTTTAAAATTCTCTGATGGCGATGTCATATTTAATTGTCAATTTGAAATGTTAAAATCCTGAGTGTCTGCCCTCTTCTCATCACGTTTGCTACGCGCCTTCATGTTAAAATTGACAACTGTGAACTGACATGGCAGCATTGCTGCCAACAATTCAGAACTGTCAGTACAAAAA